TTAATAAAAGGTAAACAAGACAGCAAATGTTCAACGTTTCGACAAGGTTTTGCCGCCACGTTGTACATTAACTGTCATGTTAAACTTATATTAAAGTTTTTTTTCATTACCCATTTAAGCCGTCTCCAGCCATTATATGTATCCAGTATAGCTTTTACTAGTGTCACTTGGAGAGAATTTCAATTTTGGTTATCTCAGTATTTAATTTCATATATTTTCTAGGAAACATGATAGTACATTGCACAAAGTAATATTAATATACAGTTTAATTCAGCTTCATGCATATACAATTGATGTATTCATTAATATGGAAATATTTCCATTTAACATATGGAACATTAAGTAATATAGAAATATGATATGGGAAAACACTGTAAAGAATTTTCACATCATAGATTGCACTTGTGTAATTCAAATGTACCTTTTGTTGTATCAGTTCCTGTTTTATTAATAACTTTTATTTTCTGATGAGCCTCATCTTTATATATTATGGGTTATTGAGAGACAAATGGTTAAAGATGGTATTTGATTATTTGTGATAAAATATACTATAAAAAAGCTATTGTAAGTGTAGTAAAGGGAAAAATTATTACTATAAGTACTATAAATTTGGCTGTACCTATTTGAAGTGATGTTTTAAAAGAATGTTCTTACTGTTAATGAATAGTGAATTAAATGTAGTTACCTATCTTATGGTAAATGTGCTCTATATTTTATGTTTCAGACTGTAGTTTCAAATGTCACAACAAGTGTCTTAACTTTCTCACCAGAACCTGTGCTTATTTAAAGGTAAATTACAATTTTTTTTTCCAAAATTATAAGTATAATTTTATCTAAGCTATAGTTGAGACTATTAATCAGTCTCTTGATAGAATTTTACGTTTTATAAACAAAATTGATATTTTCATAGAATATGTATTTGTTTTACTGTCACAAAAATTTCCAATTGAAACTACCAGTTGTAAAAAGAAACTCTAAAATCTTGTCAGTTGTTTTGTGTTATATGCTATTTTTCCTCAAAAATTGTAAATCTAAATCACAAAAGAGGCTCATGTTTGGAAATAGATGAAACTCAATAAATGTGACTTTTTATAAACCTAAACTTGTATCTTTGTTGTGCATCAATTTAAATGTTCACTTAGTACTTAATAGTTAGTATTGCAGGGTAACAATGTATGCAGTTTTTAATACCTTTTTGTTAATCTTAGGTGTAAATGTGCCATATTTGAAAGTTTTTCCAGTTTAAGACTGAAATTTTGATTCTTTGAAGTTCTATTAGCTCAAGTAATTATAGTATCCTGAAATAATGAGACAATTAATATTCACATTGATAAAGTAAATTTCTGAAACACACTTACCTCAACTCACACTTTAGCTTTATCCCAACAAAAGTTTCTCTTCTCTGTCCATCTAAAGGTTGGTATGAACCTCTCCTCACTTGTTTCATCCTTTATACTCCACAATATTGCTCATAGCAAGTTAAATCTTGTGATTCTCTCCACCTAACTATGCACTCCCTACCCCAGATCCGTATATCTAAGCTTCCAATTATTACTTCCTAATCACTTTTCTGAATGGGAGAACATTACAATGATGGTTTTATGAGCTTGCTGCAGGTTTCTCTTATGTGCTGTATAACCTTAGTTATACCTATGCTTTGAATGATTTTTTTTCTTCAACCCATCTTATTGAGTTTTGAGTTTATTCACTATTTTCTTAATTTTCCACAAAAAAAAATTCAAAGACGTTTTATATATGAGTTCTCGCATTCATGTCTCTGACACGGAGTCTCCTAGTGCTCCTACTCTGCCACTTCTGGAGTCTAGTGTTGACCTAGCCTTAGAAGGGGGGGTCTTTCCACAGAGAACATCCAATCCCTCATATGCAGAGAGGGGCAGTCTTACATAAGGTCTGTTTCTTCTGTTGGTTCAGAGGCTGAGCTTTAATGGGATCAAGGGTGGACTGGCTCTTTCCTTTGCTCAGACAGCTAATCATGATTTTTGGATGGACATCACACCACCTGCACCCTTTTTACAACTATTACATCAAATTTGTAATGTCTTGAGCATTTCTCCTATGGTTCTTCTCCTTTTTTGTTGGGGGAAGTCATTCAGCCGATTACCTAATCTTTCCGCCTTTACCAGATATTGCTGTGCATTAATGGAGATTTGCTGATCAATTGAGAGAGGGTGCTGCCATGCTTTGTCCTTCCCATTTATCAGATCAGCATGTCTTAGCTCTCCATTGCTTGGAGGACCCATATTTAGATTCTCAGAGGTTAGATCCTCTTCTTCCTAATTGGGGTTCTAGGCCTGATATCACCATTTGTGTTTTTAACCTAACTCAGTTTCCTTGATTTGTCTGTCCCTTACAACAGTTTTGCAACTGTTGTCTGAGGCCTGTCACAGCTCTCCTGTTCAATTTTCAAAGGATTTTAGTCATTTATTGACTTCTACTTTGGTAAGGTTATCAGCTTCTGCTCTTTCCCTGGTCTCTTGTTTGGTTAGTTGCTGGAATCGTTTGGAGAGAGAGATGCTGTGCTTGAGGGCATTCAACTTCCTTCTTTGACCCTTAGAAGTCTCAGAGAAGCTCCTTTTCCCAGACATTTGATTTTTGCTGGTATTCCAGATTCCATGGAATTTCGGGTGAATGTCTCTTCTCCACTCTTCTCTTTTGACACTGGCCTCTATCCTTTCCTAATTTTCTACCGGATGGTTTCCTGCATCTTCTATTCAAGTTTCTAGACCTTTTGTATTGGCTCCATATTCTATTGGAAAACAAGGCAGATTTTGCCTTTATCAGTGGTCATTCTTCGCTCATGTGGAGCACTGACAAAGGCATTGGTGACTACCCTATGTGGTCCGATCGTGTGGGGGCTCGACTAAGAGAGTTAGTGGCTGTATGGGAAACCTTCACCACAGATCAGTGGGTCATCCTTTATTTTATGTCTCCTTCTCCATTGTCTATCATACCCATTGTCTTTCTCCTCCCCAAGGATCAACTTACCTCCAGTTGTCAAGTATAAGCCATCCAGGATCTTCTGCACAAAGAAGCTGTAGAGTGTGGCAATCCTTTCTCAAGGGTTTTTATTACTGTTTATTTGTAGTACCAAAAAAGATGGGCAATTGGTGACCTGTCATCAGCCTTTCTTCTATCAGTTGTTTCCTCCAGCCTCATCAGTTTACTGTTGAGTATTTCTTTCCCTCTGGTGGCACTTTGCACCGGATTTAAAGATGTCAAAGTTTGATGTTGCCTATGCCTATTTTCATATTTTGATTTTTCAGTTTTGTGCTTAACCATTCAGCCTTTCATCTGCCCCATATATCTTTTGCTGGATAGTCAAATCGTTTTCATGTCATCTTCACTCATTGGGCATTCACACTCACCACTATATGGACAACTGGCTTCTTCCTGCCACTTGGCAGAACTTCATACTCAAGCTCTTTTATCTGAAGCTGTGTGAGCTTGGTTTCTCTTCAAAACAGAGGAGTCTGTTCTTACACCCACTCACTACCTTGTCCATTTAGGGGTATTTTTCAATAAACTTCTCGATCAGGCCCAACCTCCTCCTTTATGCCATGAAATGGGTCATTCTTCTAATACAGGCATCTCCTTCTCCACTGGTGTGTGTGGTTCTCTCTCTTTTGGGGATGTGGGCATGCGTTCCCTTCAGTGGTCATTAAAGGACCCATGGAACATTTGCACTGATGCACTGGATTGTCTGGTCCCTATTGGCTTCCAGGCTGCTCAATCTTGCCTGGTGGTTGAAGAGGGACAACATGACAGTAGGTGTCCCTCTCCCACCACCACATTCAGAGATACATCTTTTCATGGATAGAAAAATGTTAACTTTCATCTTGTTATTTTATTTGTGTACTAAAAGTGCAAGATAAATTCTTCTGAGGCTTACCATCACCCTTCATATATTTAGATTCTCTGCCAGTTTTAACATTGAGCAAATATGTTTTAAAGAAATGGCTCTTTTATCCAACCTAAAATTCTACTTTTTTTTTTATAAAACACAACAACTAAAGATGAGCATATGAAAATACTTAATAAAACTGACTTCCAATAATAATTTCTAGTAAATTGTAAACCAATATCCATAATTGTTTAGTCAACTGAAATGTGATTTTTGCCTTGAGTTACTGCTCCTGCCAAAGGTTCAATGCACATTTTATGTGTATTACTTGTGATTAATGGTATTTTCTATTTGTTCTTTGAATTAGCATAACATCATTGTATACCTATAGTGATTTTTAGTAATTCAATTTAACTAGAAAATTGATTAGATATTTTAAGATATCATGTATGCAACAGTAATTCAGTTGAGAAACATAATTTATTGCTGGAGTTTATTTTTATATTTTTCTTAACATATTTAAATTTGTTTTTTAAGGTAACTGAAAATCCAAGTTATATCATGGATCTATGTCCAGAAGTGGGACTTGCTTCTCAATGTTACAAGTGCGTAGAATGTAAGCGCAGGCTTCTTAACAGTAAGTATAAGGCTAAAAGTAGCCTGTATGCAAAATGCAGCTATTTGTATCAACAATGTTAAAAATATATTCTTGATTTATATATGTATATAGACACACACACATATCTTTATTAATGGAAACAGATTATGTTAGCAGAGATTTGCCTAGTGTTATTTTACTACTGTTTTCCAGTAATCTTACAAAATCATGGAGAGAGAGAGAGAAGGGAAAATGGTAATTTCACACACAAAAAAAAACCCAGAAAAATCTGGCCATTTCACAAGAATTTGAATTAAAAGAAGTTATCAAACACAATTTTATCTAGCTCTTTAATTGCTAGACACAGTTCTGAATATATCCTGTATCTATAGTTCAATTTTTTTTTTTTTACACATTTACATAAGTCATTTAGAGAAGTGACTTTGATCAGCTTTTCAGAAGTACATTATATTTTTGTGATGCTATGAATTACAACCCTGCCAGAAGAAGTGAAAAAATGTTTTATCATTTGTAAATCTCTGTTCCTTTACATATATTCATTAAATATGCTTTTTTTTGCAATGGATTTGAGTACAATGCCAGTGGAATGCAGTAATTAAACTTAAACCAATAACTTTGACATTTTTAAAACTCCCATATATCTTCTACCCCCAACCAACCCTGCAAGAACTATAGGAAAGATAAGGATTTGGTTAAAAACTCTTGGATATTTCTGGTTCTATTTAGGATATTGAGGTACTACAGAGTTACTGAAATCAGTTATTAAATTGAAAAAATATTTGGGTATTTCAGGGGTAATAAGGATGTTGGCTTACTACAAAGTTACTGGAATCAGTTAGTAACTTGGACAGATATTTGGGTACTTCAGTGTGTGTGTTAAGGATGTTGACTTACTACACAGTTAGTAACTGACTCTAACTTGTAGATGTGTGCAAGGTAATGCACTTGGTTATCATAAGTTGGATAATATGTTTATTGTATAGATGTGAACCTTCTGAACAGAATCATTTAAGAAAAGGATCTTGGCATAGTGTTAAGTCATTCAAGCCATTGAGGCATTGCTCTGTTGTTAGTAAGAAAACTAATAAAACTTTAGGATGTATTAACTCTTTTGCTACGGGCAGTCAAAGGGTGCACGTCATGACATTTTAGAGAGCAATTTTCAAAATTTTATAAAATAGCTTTGCTATTACTTACATCAAAGGAATTCACATGAAAATGAAGGTGATATTGCAAAATTTTAATATTATATATGTTTTAATATCTCAATTTAAAAGGAAATATAAAGAAAAAACAATGGTAAATATTATTTTTTGTGTGTCACATAACACTTCCTGTTGCATTATTGTTCAGTTTATAATTAATTAAGCCTACCATATGACGTGTGCAGTAATTAAGAAATTAGAAACTCAAATTGGAGATATTGACAAGTTATAATTAAAAATAAGAACCTCCAACCTCTTTGATTTGTTGAGATACAAGTATATTTAGCCAGTCTAGTAGTTTGGCTCCTCCTACTACTCCAGTCTTTCAAAACCTCTTGTCTAGTCCCATCTATTTTTATTTTTGTAAGAGTTTATAACCAATAGATAGAGCAGTTACTTGTGTACGCAAGTCTTATAGCTGTTTGTAAATAGCTTGAAGGAAAAAATTGTAACTTCACCTAAACTGTTGAAATGTGATGACTAAGTTGTTCTGAAGAGAAACGGAATTTTTTTAAAACTCGTATAAAGCTTTTTTAGACACCCAAATAAATTACAGATGTTTTGGGTGCACTAATATAGTAAGTTTATATATTTTTTTAATTAGTTTATATGTGAATTTGAAGTGTAAAAAGAAGTGGTCTGCTTTGAAATAGAGGCTCAATAAGAGCTGTGACCAGGTCCATTCTGAAGGCCTTCTGGGATAATGTCAGCTGATTGGTTTGTTGTTTGTACGAAATGTAAGCATTTACAACTGTCAAGTTATACCATTTTATTGTCCTTCTTCCAGTAGAATAGTAACTTAAGCATTGGTCCACCTCTCCCATAAACTTGTTGTAGTCCACAATTAACTGAGGTTTTGTAACCTCAGCATCTCTCCATCTTCTTGTCATAGTATTAGAGTGTAGAGTTGAAAGTGCACAAGTGTCTCGTTTGTCAGTCCACTTCACAGCTGTCGGAATTCCACGTTAAAAAAAAAAAAAAAATGTGCTTCCCCTCTCTGTAGGTTTATAGAAACCAGTTGCTGCGGGAAATAATCTGTCTTTCCTGCATTTCCCCCAAGCATGGGTTCCCATAGTCAGTAGTTTGTCAAATAAACGAGGGGAAGTGTAAAAGTTGTCCATGAAAACCCAGTGTCTTAGTCTGTTGTATTTGTCCACCAGTTCCATCACAACATTGTCTGCTAAACCTTTAGCTGTCATTTGTCCCTCCTTTGCCTGTGTGGATTTTAAACTTCAGACAGTATCCACTCACAGCTTCTGCCAGGACCCATAACTTGATACCCCGTTTGACAGGTTTGTAAATATTGAAGGAAACCAATTCTACATTCTGTGCCCAGCTTCTGTTAATCTGTGGTTAGTTCTCTGTTAGGAGAGTAGAAGGAAACAAAATAATTTAGTAGAAGTTCTATGATAAGTCTAATCTTAAAAAAGTTTATCATGTTAGGGTCAGTTCTAGGAAGAGAATTAGTATTATTATTGAAATATAAGTAAGTGTGTATAGCTAAAAACTTGCCCCTAGAAATGTTAGTAAACCAAGGATTATGGAAAGGAAAATAGGTAGACCAATAGTCAGAAAGAGAAGGATAAGGCTTTAGTCCCATTGTTAAAGTTAAACCTAAATATGCCAAAAGTTCACAATGTGTAATATTTGTCCATTTTACTGTGTTTTTTGTTGTTTTTTTTCTGTGGTCCACCTTCTTGCTGGCATCTCTGGTTTGCAAACTGATATTTAATGTTTCTGTGGTAATTAAAAGTTTAAAGAAGTCAATAATTTTATTTAAAGAGGTAACCTGCCTGGACACAGTTCATCTCTGTTGAATGGAGGTATGTTTCTTTGTTTCTCCTCAGTGACCTTCACTCGGGTCCAGGTATCATTGCAGGTGAGAGGCTTCTCCTGCTGGGAAGGGGCAATCCTAGAACAAACTGCAGCTCCACCCCATCCCCTACACTTCCTAGCCCTGCCTCTTTTCTGTGATGGTGGTGTAGCTTCTCTAAATGTACCTGGCCTGAGTGGTTCCTGTATATCTTCATCTGAGGAAGACCTTCCAACTACTTCTTTATCTGTCCATAAGACAGAATCAAGAAGAGCTGGTTCAATCTGAGGCCATTTTGTTTTGTACACTGATTCTATCAAGGGCATAGCAATTGAAGCATCAGCTTCCTCAACTGCTGATTCCCCTGACAGACTGCCACTTTCATCAGAAGAGAAAGATACATGCAGTAAAAACTGCATTTCTTCCTCGGAGAGAACTTTTTCTTTCTCAATTTCTGGTACTTTTCTTGAAGTTCTTTTTTAGCTTCCATTTCTAGAAGAAAAAACATGACATATATATTATATTTTGCATCATGTATTTTCTGTTGTGTAACAATATTATATGTATTATATGACTTGTATTAGTTCTTTGCATGTATATATATTCCATGATGTATATCATATATTTCAGAAGCAGTACATTTTATGCTAAAATACAGAAACAGCTATAATGTAATTTGGTCAACAATTATATACTAAAACTATTGATTTCAGCCATATTATAAATAATAATTACTTACTTCTAGGTAAAAAGTCAGTAGCAAGAAATATGCTTCAAGTAGAATATATTTGCTTGGTACCAATTTATCTACGTCTTCGAACAAAGTATAGAGAAATACCCAAAGTCAGAGTGCTTAACTGAATTTGAATGTTTTCAAAACAATAACCAGATTTGAAACTTGGTTATTTATTGGTTGATGAATAAGTCTGCTGAAAGAGAAGAATGATTTCACAACCATGTGTACCAATGAGATCTTTGTACACCTATACAGTATACTGCTAAATTTCTAGGTGAAGTCTTATTGCTCTGGAGAATATTTGTTGTAAAACACTAGGATACATACCTAAGCCAATGACTTCCACATCCTGTTGTTGGTATAAACGTTTTCACAGATTCTAAGTGCAGTGTGATTACTAAAGTTAAATTTTCTAGTAAACGCTGTAAGATATATAATTCAATACATTAGACATCCTTTTCTCGAAGTAGGGGTCAAGTCGGCTATCCCTTTGTGCGTGCTATGGTGCTTTCAAAGGTATCGTATTACCGTGTCACGTAAACAGTCCACTGACACAATCGGCAATTTATTGCTTCCTTTTCAGCAGATTTCTACTTCAGTATTAGACAGTAAAATACACATAGAAAATAAATGTGAAATGCTTAGTAGTTGAAACTCTCAAGGGAAGTACTTTAAAAGCTTGTGAATAATAATCAAGAAAATAGGGCAAAGCTGCTCATTTTATTTCTGATTGTACAACATTTCTTTTTGTTATACTTTGATTTGTCTAATGGCTGAAGAATAAAATATACTGTTAGGGTAGAGGTAATAACAGATGAAATAAAGTTTTACTATATATAAAGTCATATTTACTAAGGAGGTTAAAGCGATTACAAAAATGAAGGTTGAGATTTTTGAGACAATGAGAAGTATTTTTAATCTTTACATAAAAATCACTTTGCTCTTGCAGAAAAATATTTAATTCATTCACGGACAAATTGTTAGCAAAAATACTTCATTAAAAACTGTTTTTTTTTTTTTTCATACAAATGACTTGTAATGTTTACTAAAAGTTTGCCAAATTTTGTTAAAGTACACATACTATTAAAATTTATAATACTAAAACTACATACAAGTAAAATTGGTCACGTGATTGGTCCCTGGGACCAAGCCCGTGTTGAAAGAGTTAATAGATATGTTGGCTATAACTTAAAAGTATTTAGTAATTAGGCCTTATTTGGAATATTGTGTACAGTTTTGGTCTCCTTACCTAAAAGTATATTGCTTGTTGAAAAGGGTTTAGAGGCGGCCTACTAGGAACATTCCAAGGATTGAAGGGTTATCTTAATTATGGGGATAGATTAAGATTTCTTAACTTATTTTCTCTTGAGCAAAGAAAGAGAAGAGGTGATATTTATTTTTTCTATTTACAAGATTGTCTGGGAGATCAATGGATAAAGGTCTCTGATTTCTATTTATTATATTCTGAAAACAATAGGACAGGAGTTTAAGGTTTGGAAAAGGCATTTTTTACTCAAGTTAAGACAGTTTAATTTTTCTAAGAGAGTGATAAGTTATGGATAGAGCTTCCATTTGCAGTAGTGCATAAAATAATTTGAGGAGAATTTATGAATTTTTAAAAAATAAAGAGTAGGTTTAATTTTTGCTTTTTTTTTTTTTTGTGGCAGTG